GTCAGTGGCCAGTGCTTCTGCCCAGCCGGCTTCCACGGCCAGTTCTGTGAGAGGGGTGAGTGTCCGTGCCCCACAGGCTCCCCAGGCAGCCCCCACCCTGTGCCTGTCCAGTCTGGGTGCAGGACGAGAGGGGATGCTGAGCCCACTGTCCCCTCCAGGGTGTGAGCCGGGCTCCTTTGGAGAAGGCTGCCACCAACGGTGTGGCTGCAGTGGTGGGGCGCCCTGCCACCCCGTCAGCGGCCTCTGCCTGTGCCCACCAGGGCGCTCGGGAGCCACGTGTGACCTGGGTGAGTGGGGGTCTGGCTGGAGGGTTGTGGAGTGGGTCTCCATATTGACTGTGGATTGAGCGCCACCTGTGCCGCCTGACTGACGCGCCCTCCTGCAACCTCTGGGCCCCAGCCTGGGCCCTCGAGGGGGCAGGCACCAGGGTGTGCTCACCAGAGCTGGAGCTGTAGAGGTCCTGCCCTGCCCCGCGGCTGCCAGAGCCCCAGGCCCCTCTCCTGGGGCCGGGACATTTGATCATGGGAGGAAGCCCCTGATAGGTGGAAGGTGGTCCCTATCTGCTGGCTGGGGGTGGGGGCATTGAGAGGGTGGGAGGGCCACCCAAGGGTGGGGGCTGCCCTACTGGGGCTGCACAGTGGACTGACTGGAGGGTTCCTGGGCCTGATGAGCCTTGGGGGAGCCGCCTCGGCCACAGGTCCCCCCCACCCCGGCCACCCGGAGCCTGGGCGGAAACACGGGTAGTGATTCTGGGAAGGCACCCGTCCCATGCAGGAGCCCTCAGATGCAGCACACTGTTGGGAAAGCAAGGCAGGGGCTGTCCTGCTCCCAGGGGACACGAGGCCCTCACTCGCGAGCTCTCTGCCCACAGCCCGGCAGACAGGGACCTGCTCAGGCCTCTCCCCTCCCCCCTTGTATTTAGATTGCAAACCAGGCCGCTTTGGGCCCGGCTGTACCCTGCGCTGTGAGTGTTCAGCGGGGGCTGACTGTGACCCGGTCAGTGGGCAGTGCCACTGCGTGGATGGCTACATGGGGCCCACGTGCCGGGAAGGTGAGTTGTGCTCCTGGGGAGGGAGGGAAGACACTGGGCCCCCACACTGGCTGAGGACCTGTCCCTGGCCTTGATATCACTGAGTGGGTGCAGCCAGCCAGAGAGACCACAGCCATCCCTGCCCAGTACCCACAGTGTCCACGCAGCTCCTGACAGGCCAGGTGTGAGCTCATAGCCACTTAACCATGGGGCAGGGTGGGCACTGCCAGCCAGCAGCCCCACCTTCCTGAGCCCAGCAGCTTCGAGGGCCAGCGCAAACCCAGTGGGAGCCCAGACAGCCCACCCTACAGCCCGGGCCGGGCGAGGCAGTGCAGGCAGGCAGAGCTGGGGGTGCCCACACCCCCTGGCTGGCCCAGGTTGGCTCCCGGGCCTGGGATGCTGCAGGTGTTGGGCAGGGTCTCTGCAGAGGGCATGAGGACAGAGGCGAGGCGCCCACCCCAGGGCTCCGGTATGGCTGAGCAGGGATCCCAGCTGGAGACCCCTGACATGAGTGCGTCTTGAACTCTCCAAGATGATCCTGGCCTGAGATCCTAAGAGCTGTGAAGGGAGGGAGGCATGGAGGAGGGAGCCGGCTCCACAGTGGGGTGGCTCCTGGGGACCAGGCCGCCACTTGCCTGCTGCTGCTGGCACACAATGCTGTCCACAGCGGCACCCAGTGGCCAGGTGTGGCGGTGCAGCCTGGGGCACCCTAGCCCAGACATTGAGCCTGAAGCTGGGCCCCTCTGGGCAGGGCCTCTTTGGCAGGTGGAGTCCTGGGCCCTGTTCCCTGCCCGGGAGTGGGCTTGGCTTAGCTCTGGGGGAAGGCCCTCCCCATCCAGCCCTGCCTCTCAGGCCTTCTGGAAAGGAGAGGCTGGGAGCGTGCGTTGGGAGGAGTCGGGCTTGGGCCGGAGTGAGATGGAGCAGGAGGCCGTGCCTGGGAGGGGGTCCCTGCAGGCAGGGGTGGGTGAGGCCTCACAGCCCCAGTACAGTGACATCCAAGAATGAGGGCACCCATGAGAACTGCTGTGTGTCCCCTCACAGGTGGGCCCTCCCAGTTCCTCGAGAGCCTGTCCCCAGCACGGGGCGCAGGTAAGGGGTGGGGAATGCCCCACGGGCTTTCCGGGAGGGTGTGTTGTGGCTAAGTCCAAAGGTCCAGGCTTGGCAGTAGACATCTCTGCTGCCCGGACCTCAGAATCTAGACCTGACGTGGAGCTGGGGAGGAGGGTGGGGACGGGCCAGCCAGGACCTGGCTGTTTCAAGAGCTGCCACCCCCAGGACTGACCCTCCTTTCTTCTCATGCCCCAGCGGCCACACGGCCAGTCTCCAGCGGACAGGTACCCAGCTCTGCAGGCACTAGCTGAGGCAGCCCCTGCCCTGGAGGCTCTGCCACAAAGCTCCAGCTGAGGGACCCGGCCTTGGTGATGCAAGAGAACACACGTGGACCTCTCTCCAGAGGCTGTGGACAGCTGTGGGTCCCAGGGGAGGGCTGTAGACAGCTGCCCAGCCTCTCCATCAGCCAGGGCCCTGTGGCTGCGAGGAGGGAGGCCTCACGTGGCCACAAGTAGCCCAGAGGAGTGGACCGGACCTCAGGCTGCATGGTCCACATCAGGCACCTGGCTAGCTGGGCTGAGGACGCCCTGACCCTCCATGCAGCCTGGGTTGGGACCAAGGCAGCTGTGGGTGTGGGCCTCTGCCCTCCGAGCAGGCCCTCCTGGTGCTAGGCCCTGGACTGCTGCAGCCTGGCCGACTGACTCTTTACCTGCAGATGTGGTCTGGCCGGTTATGTATAGGTATTTATGGGCAGTGCTACACGCCCCGCTGCCCCGGGGCCGCTAGAAGCTGCCCGTCCCAGGAAGCCTGGACTCAGGCTGGCAGGGCCCTGGGGTCCCCAGCAGATGTGCTCAGGTTCCATGTAAAGCCCAGCGAGTTAAATTAATGTGGGCTTCTGCGGCCTGTGTCTTCGCTGCTTTCCGTCGGCTCTAATGGGCTCTCGTGGGCTCTGTGGGTTCTTATGGGTTCTGTGGGCTCTGATGGGCTCTAATGGGCTCTCGTGGGCTCTGTGGGTTCTTATGGGTTCTGTGGGCTCTGATGGGCTCTCATGGGCTCTGCGTGGGCTCTGATGGGAGTGTTCACTGGCATCCCTCTAATGGTGATGGGAAAAGGGGAAGCTGTCGGCGTAAAGCCACCCACAGGAAGTTCTCAGGCCGAAGGGTGAATGATCCCAAAGGGAAGGCAAAAAGAAACCCCCGAGTCTAACAAATCCAAGACCATCAGGGGCAGAGAGAAACTCCAAGGTGCCTGGAGAAGAAAGGCCAGTGGGAACCAGGCCCGCAGTGGACTCTGTAAGAGAAACACCGAAGGCTGCAAACAGCGTTGTTCTGTAACTTCAAGAGACGAGGAATTCTGAAACCTGAATTTTTATGTCCAGCTAAACTATCAAGATCCATGAAGCCACCCATACAAGCCTGATTTGAAAACGCTCACTGGAAAATTTCCACAAGAGGGAGAGGATCCCAGGAGGGGGTTATTATTCACGTTCCCATGTGCCCTAGTGATTAAGAGAACCCGAATGGTCCTGTTAATCCACAAGGACCCCTGGACTCTGACACCATGGTGCGAGAGTGTAGGCAGGGACAGATGGAGGGGGAATGTCACCTGTCCTGGCTGGTGAAACCCAGTGATCAGCCACAGGAAGTGAGGGGCAGAGCCCCTCCAGAGAAGCAGGACCATCCAGTGGGAGGAAGGAAGGGACAGTAGAGCCTAGGAAGGAGACACAGGGTGCACGTGGTGAGAAGGGAGGACCCAAACAGGTCCTCTGAACTGTCAACAGATCCTGAGTAATGGGCCAGGTGTCGTGGTGCAGGCCTGTAATCCCAGCGACTCAGGAGGCTGAGGCAGGAGGATCGCAAGCTCAAAGCCAATCTCAGCAATTTAGTGAGACCCTAAGCAACTTAGTGAGGCTCTGTCTTAAAAAAAGGGGGGGTCTGGGGATGTGGCTCAGGGAGTAAGCACCCCTGGGTTCAATCTTCAGTACCTGCCCCCCACCAAAAAAAAAAAAAAGAGACCCTACTGATGGACTAATGAGGAGAGGAGAAAAAGGACCCAACTAATCCACTTCCATGCCGAGGAGGGCTGGGTAAGAGTTTTAGTATTTCAAGGTGACAAGACTGTACACACACACACACACGAGAGGTTCAGAATTCACAGAGCAATGGTGGGTAAAACAGGATGAAATACATCATCTTACCTGGTGGTTTTACCGTGCTCTTTAAAAAAACCAATAGTTTAGGCAAATAACATGGCGAGGATCGAACCTGAGTGAGCTAAGTGAGTCCGCACGTGCGTTTCATTCATGTGTCACACACACACATTCACCCTCACTCAGCATGGAGAGAAGTGGCACATTTAATAAAACCAGGCTTTCCTTCTTTGAAGACTAATAAGAAAAAAAAAAGCATAGAAGACTGATGATTTTGAATATGAAACAAGAAAAACAACACAGAAGAAGGAGGGAGAATGAACCCACCTGCCGTAGAGAGCGAAACATAAAAAAAGATCAAGAGTCTTTGAAACAGGAAAGGGGTAAACTGGAGAACCAGCCAGGAGCACACCAGCCCCGGAGTGGACGCAAGTGGCCAGGAAGGTCTGCACCTCGCTCTGGCCCGGCGGTGCCTGATGCAGATGCTGGCAGGGGGCCAGGCTGCGAAGACACCGTGGACTAGTCTAATGTGACTGCTTCCGGGGACTTTAAATAGAGGAAAAGTGGCTTCCCTGGCCTGGGGTGGGTACTGATGGCTAAAACCAGGCCGGCATGGAATAGGGAAGCGAACTCCCAAGTGAGAACAGGGTTCAGAACTAACGTCTGGCCTGGCAGGCGTGGCTCGGTGCAGAGCGCTGGCCCAGGCTGCGTGGGGCCCAGGGCTCCGTCCTCGGCGCCATCAAACAAACAAACAAAAACAGCTCATGTCCTCCTGGTCAAACGGAAGAGCGCCGGCAAGGGGAGAGGTCAGGCCGGAGGCGTTCGGATGCCAGGTCTCGGGAAACCGGGTACAGAAGGGGCACTGACCATGGTGGCCAAGTACCAGGGTCATGGTTAGTGGAGCCACAAGTGAATCTGGGTCTGTCCACTCCCTGCCATCCAAGGGCCTCCCACTCCTACCGCGTGCCCACGGCTTCTGCTCAGCTCCCAGCTCCCCCCTTCCCCACTAGAACGCGGGGTCTGGGGAGGCAGGGGCTTGCCAGCGCCCTGCTGGACACCCTGGAGCTGGAGCAAGAGTTGGAAAACAGTGCCTGCAGCCCCAGAGCTCAGAGGCCCCGACAGGGCTGTCCGGTGAGCACTAGGTGCCAGGGTCTGCCGTGAGACAACTTGCTGTGATTTTCAGGGGGTGGGATCATCTAGAAAAGCACCAGCCAAGGGCTGCAGTTAACAAGATTCACCAGGGTTGGCAATAAAGCCATGTGTCATATACATTATAAAGCCTACAGAGGTCACCAGGCCTTCAACATTAGCCAAATGGGAAGCAGTTTGAGACACTCTCACCAGGGCAACAAACCCACAGGCACATGGGCACGAGCCTGGCACAAGGATTTCTACTCTTGAGTTTTTAAAGACCTAAACAGAAGCATATCTATACATGAATAAGGGACAACTGTGATGTGACAGAGGGGACCTGCCAGTCCTTGCACCTGACCTGATTCCAACCTGTTGAATCAAGGCCCGGCCATGGAGTGCACATGGCTCTGGGGAAGCCTCTGCCATGTCTAAAGTGGTCCAGGTCCGATGTCGAGTGGGTTGGCAGGCAGAGATGAGGACATGAGCAGGGTCACGGACATGCCAGCAGTGTGTGGGGTGGGACAGTCTTGCTACCACCGGACCTCTGCTGGGGCTGTGGGATCTGGGGGTCGTGTCCCAGGGTCCGGCAGCAATACCTCTGTTAGCCAGCAGAGGCGCCCAAGGGTACACTGTGGCTGGCAAGAGAGGGAGGGGCTGGAACCAGGGAGCCAGAGGTGCAGAGCAGCACCGGGGGTCCCACAGTGGGGCCGAGATGGGCAGGGCTCCTCCACGGGAGCCCTGCCCACAAGGGCACACAGGGCGGGGCGCCCCAGGGCTGGGAGGGGTCCTCACTGGCTGGGCTGGACACTGATGTTTGCAAGATGGACCACAGCCCTTGTCCCCACTCCCTGCAGACGCAGGCCCATGTGGCCCCAGGCTGGCACACCAGGCAGTGCCTGGTCCCACTCCGCCCGTCCTGAGACAGGTCTTGCTGGAGATGGCTGGTGTCATTAAAAGCCTTGAGGGTCCTCTGTAAGCCCAGTGACCCCAGGAGTGGGTAGAGAGATTTGGGGTCTCTGTTTCCCCGAGTGCAGTGGGGATTCCATGTAGGCTAGGGCCTCCCTGGATCACGCATCTGGACAGGAGGAAGGGTGGCTAGGCAGGCCTGCCCTGGGTGTGGCAGGATCCTCCACAGGACCCCCATTATCGGGAGGGGAGTACCTGACACAATGGGTGGGCTGAGGCAGAGGGTTCTCAGTGGGGGACCACGCTCCGTCAGGCTGTCCCAGCTGTGGACTGGGACTGGCGGGGCCCGGCTGGGCCTGCCCTGCTGGCAGCCCTCATACCTTGGCGGTGGCCCCCATGCCTTGCTGGCAGCCCAGACCCTGTCCTTCCTCACTGCTAGGGAGGGTGGCCTATCCTGAGCAGACCTGGCTTGGGCTGGACCGAGGTGGCCCCAGCCACCCTCCAGCTCAGGGCTGTCCTTCCCCTGCTGATGAAGCCGTATTGCCCTAACCACAAGCAAGGACAGGCTTCAGAGGCAGAGCCCAGCCTGTGGCCACTTTGCTCCGCTGGCTGGACTGTGGTTGGGGGAGTCAAGTGCTAGGCCCACCTGCCCCTCCTGGACCCTGATCCTTGGGGTTCAGTGGTGAGGACTGGCAGGAGGACTAGACTATGGGGCAGTTGGGTTACCATGAAGACGAGGCCCGTCCTCCTGAGTAGGGCAGGCCACAGCACGTGAGCACTCAACACACACCCCCTGGTCAGCCTGCTTGTCCCACAGTAGCTGCAGGAAAGAGAAGAGGCCACCCGGTTCAAGCCTCAGGCAGGGACTGGAGGCTTGATGTGCCCACATGTCCAGGAGCAGGGGCAGCGGGGTCTCTCTCCAGTGGGTCGCCCCCAGACCTAGCCTCTCTCTCCAAGACCTGCCCACCTCCTCATGCAGTGCAGCCACTGACCACAGTCCCTGCCCAGGACGGTCCTACTTGGGCTGAACCTGGGCTCGGCCCTTCCAGCTGCCAGAGGCCACGAAGACCAGAGAGGAGCCAGCTCTCCCTCCGACTCAGTGCCCTCCCACAGGCCGTGTCCACCCCTCCTGGGCCGCCCCGGGGCCTGAAGGACCCGCGCGGCTCCATCACTGATGCTGGTTCGCACCCAGAGAAGATGCCCCCGACCTTCATGGCGGGTGGGCCTCTGCAGGTGCGGGGTCAGGGCAGACTCCTGTGTGTGTGGGGCCCCCACCCAACAGCAGCAGCACCCAGGCCCAGAAAGGCCAGGGCGTCAGCACAGGATGCAGGAGGGCCAGCGCGTGCTTCCCAGAGAGCTGGACCGTCCTCCCACCTGGCCAGCCCAGGTTGGCTCTGGGGCCTCTCCTACCTCTGTCCCCGAGGGCTCCCAGAGGGCTGGGGGATGCGTGAGGAAGGGGGCTCTTCACTGCAGGCCCCCAGAGGGGATCCCGTGGAATCTGGGTGCTCACCCCACCCCCCAGTGGCCAGGATAGGCCCTCCAAGGCCCTGTTGTCACTCCCCCTGGGCCCTCGCCACAGGAGCAGGGGCCACAGGCCTTGCCCAGGACACTCCAGCTGGTGGACAATGGCCAGAGCCAAGGACAAGCACGGGGTGACCTCACTCGGGGGCCAGCCCCAATCCACAGCACTTTCAGAATTTCACCAGGACAAACGTGACCTTCGCCTGGACTCAGATTCACTGCAGAAATCCAAGTTCTGAAGAAACACTTTATTGTCATCTTAAACCTCAAAGTCACAGTATTCCTGCTGGCCCTTAGGTCTGGCAGCCCGCCTCTCAGGACAGGGCCCCTCAGCACTCAGGCCTGCCTGTCACCAGGGACAGGAGGGGCGTGGGCAGGTGGTGGCCTTCAGTCATCTCTATCACTGAGCCTGGGCGTGGCTGCCCCTTGGGTGCCCAGCAGGTGGGTGGCAGATGGCCAGGGGCTGGGGGCGGGATGCTGCCTCCAGGCTCTTCCTTGGAGGGTGGGATCCTCAGGCAGAGTCTCAGCACAGGAGCATGTGGGGCCCTGGAGTGTCCCACCAGACTCCCTGGAGCCAGGACCACGTTCTGGCTGGGACTAGAAGCCACAGGTGGCTCTGGGCCACAGGGGGCCGCCTACACGTCGGTCTCCACCCGCAGCCGCTCCATCCTGCGCACGTTGTCCTCCACGGCCACACGGCTGGTGATGCAGCGGGCAAAGTCCTCGGGGAACCAGCCCATCTCTCCGTCCCGCAGCCTCTCTCCAAAGAGCCACCCTGACAGAGAGAGTGGGCATGAGAGGCGGGCCGTGGGCACTCCCTGAGCCTGGGCAGTGCTGGGCACTGACCACCCCCAGGCCGCCCATTAAGAGGGACGTCAGGGCCGTGCTTGTCCCACTCTGCAGGCACACTCGGGCCCAGCTGAGTGGGGACCCCTAGGAGAGCAGAGCCTCTCCCCACCTAGGGCAGAGCGCGCAAGAGCTGGCTTTTGATCCCGTGACTTGGGGATCCATCTCCCGTTGACGAGATGCTCGAGGGAGGAGGCAGCAGGCCCTGAGCACACGTCATCCTGCCACCCAGCCTGCTCCACACCCGCCTGGCCCCCGCCCACCCGTACTCACCGGCCTCCTCCTCCATGACCAGGACCACATCTGCCTGCTGCAGTGTGATTTCGTCCGCCTCCTTCGCAAAGTAGGCCTTGGTGACCTCCACCTGGGGCAGCTCTGGTGGAGAGGGGCATTGGCCATCAGAAGTCCAGGTGAGGCTCAGCCAGGAGCTCTGTGCAGCCTGAGGCAGCAGGGTCCCTCCACCCCGCCGACCGCCTCCACAGACCCCATGGTCTACAGGGCACAGGGGGTCCCAGCACACGGACAGGGCAGTGTCCCTCAGGCCACAGGGGTCCCAGCACACGGACATGTCCCTCAGGCCAACACAGGCCCTCCAGAGGCTGCAGAACAGGACCCTGCCTTCAAGGTCAAAGCACCCAGCATGGGCAGAAGGCACTCCTTCCCCTCGGGGACAGGGCCGGGCCAGAACTGGGTGCCCGCCTGCTGTGTGGCCTGTGCTCCCTCCCAGCTATGGGGCAGGCCAAGGCCTCTGAAGGGGTGTGTGTGCTCAGGTCCGCACACACGCATGTGCACATGCAGACTCGCCTGAGCACGCTGCCGGGGCGGGTGTGGTGTGCACCCCGGGCTGCATAGTGCCTCTCCTGTAGGCCACTCCCACCCTGGGGCTGCGTCTGCAAACCCCCGCTCACCTCCTTTGTTGGTCAGGCCCTTCCACTGCTTCTCCTTGTAGGTAAGCGCTGTGATCCACCGGGCCCGGTCACTCCTGGGGGCCACAGAACAAGAGTGGCCCACCCTTCAGGGGGATGCCATGAGCCCCCTGCGGCTGACCTGCCCACTGTCCCCAGCTCACGGGCTCCAGCCTCTGGCCATCCACCTCACTGCTCCAGGGCAGGGTGCTCCTGCCTCAGGGCCTTCGCACAGCCATGCCCCCTCCTGAGCACTCCCTGCTCCCCTCCTGGGGTCACCAACCCCCCCACACCCCACCCTGCCTGCTTTTCCCCTCCTACACTCCTCCTCCTGGTCACTGGACAGTTCAGTCCTCTATCTGCTGAGGTGCCCTCTGGGGAACACAAGCACCGCGTGGCGGGCTGTGCGACTGTCCAGGGTTCTGCACCCGTGGCAACGCCTACAGGTGTGGACCTCAGGCCGCCCCTCCCCAGGAAGCCCCCCAGTCTTACGCGGAGTCCGAGGACAGCAGGATCTGCTCCTGGCGGCCCTCACTGTTGCGCAGCAGGGTCACCTGGAAGGGGTGCGGCACGGAGGAGCTGCGGTTGCCACCCCCCGGCAGAGAGGCCTCCGAGGGCTCCAGCTTCCTGACCTGGATGTGGTCCATCTGGGCATAGTCCTGGACCGCGTAGCTGTCCTCGCTGTGGGACACGGGCAGTCAGGGCTGCCCTGCAACAGCTGGGCTGGGCTCCGACGGACACTCCGAGGTCTCCCTCCCTCCCCTGAGCTGAGAGGCCGCAGCCTTGGAGCCCTGCCCGGGGCAGCCACCCAGGCTGGAGGAGCCAAGGGCCACGCCACCTCGCGTGCAGTAGTGCTGAGCCTCGAGCCTGGGGGCTCGGCTGCCCTCGTCCTTCTGGCTCCCGCCATTCCCCGGCCCCACCTCTTCTTGATCCTCTCACCCCTGTCATTCCCGACTCCCAAGGCTCATGGTCAGTCCCACCTCTTCTTCTTGGTGACCACCAGGACGTCGCTGAACAGGAACAGGTAGCACGTGGGCCGGCTGGCGAGCTTCCTGAAAAGCCCCGTCTCCTCCACCAGGAACAGCTCCCCGCGCTTCAGCAGCCAGCGGGAGGCGGAGATCAGGGGGAGGGACTAGGGACAGAGAGGACAGATGAACAAGGCCCCTGGAGGGACCGACGGGTAGTGTGGGGTGGGGGGCAAGCCGGCTGTCCAGCTGGCTGCCCCGTGGAGGCTGGGCAGGCTGGGGCGAGAGGTCCCTGGGCCTCGGATCAGGGCTGCCCAGTTGACCGACAGGTGCTGCGCTGGCAGGACGGCCCCATGCAACCTCCAGTCATGCCCACTGGACATTGGCTCAACGTTCAGCCTGCCCTGGGGACAGAGACCAGTCCCAGGGAGGGCGCACACCACTTCATCCAGGAATGGCAAAGCTGATGGCATTTACACCATGCTGTGCCCCTGGCATGAGGCCTGGTCAGGGGCCAGCTTGGGATGGCCACATGCTAGTACCTGGTGCTGACCTTGACTCAGCAACAGAGCTGCCTCCCACCCTGGGGGCCTGGGGCCAAGCTGGTGGAGAGGGATGGGGACCAAAGGACCCAAATAAGAGGGGGCAGGAAGATGGGCCTCTGCTGGGCTGGGGGCCCCGCTCCCGGGCTGGCTCCCACCCCCATCCAAATGCTCTCCTCCTGGACACCCAAAGACGCGCCAGCGACTCCCACCTCTGGGCCTTGGCCATGCGTCCCCTACCTGGACCAACCTGCCCTCCCCAACCCAGGCCCATGGCAGTGCTGGCTTCAAGACCAGGCTGGGGTAGAGCCCCACTCGGGGTCAGCCAGGCCTGGGACCAGGACCTTGCTGAGGCTGGGTGTGCCGTGGCCCAAACGTGACAGGATCAGGAGCCGAGCACATGAAGGGCAGCGTCACCGGACGCCTCCTCCACAAAGTCCACCCCAAGCAGCCCAGGAGCCTGCTGCCCTGGTCAGGACCTCTGAGGCTCCACTGCATGGTCCTGACCTGGGGGGCCTGTGCTTATCTCCCAAACTAGGGCACCTCTGAATGGACAAAGGGGTGCCAAGTGGACAAAACACCAGGACCAGAGGCCTACACAGGTCCACTCTGGGGGGTGGCTGCTGAGCCTGGGCAATACAGGGGTGAGGCCAGCTGTGGGTGCTCAGGGGTGGTCTGTGGAGGCCTGGATCTGAGTCCTGCCTCCTGGGGAGGCTGCCCAAGCCCGGGAGGGCGATATCTGCCCCTCCCCAGAATGCAAGCCCCATGGGAATCAGGTCTCCTGCCCCGCTGTCCTCAGTGTGGCCAGCAGGGAGCCCTGGCCCAGGAGCAGCCACAGGCCAGGCCTGCTGCCCACTGCCTAGGTCAGTTCCCTGAGGGCTGGGCCTGCCCTCTGCCCACTCAGGGGGTCGGAGGAGTGCTGCGAGCTGAGCGGGTGGTGACAAGTTCCCACGGGGAAACTGCCCCAGGGACAGGGACGGGCACAGGCCCCAGGTCCCTCAGGCCAGGCCCCCAAGGCTTCTCTCCAGCTCAGGCCCCACAGGTTGGACCCCTGACCCCAGGCGGACGGCAGCAGGGAGAGGGGCCTGGGGTGCGCAGGGTCTGACGGCGTCTGGGGCAGCCCCTACCTTGACCTTGCTGAAGTCCAGCTGCGTGTGCAGCGTGTACATCTGCTCCGTGCGCTGCATGGTGTGGGCCCCCTCGTTGCACTGCCTCACCAGCTGCAGGAGAGGCCAGCGGTCAGCAGGGGAGCCAGCCTGCCCTCCATGCCTGGCTCTGCGGCTCTCGAGGCCCGCCCTCCCCTTCTGGTGGCGCTGGGTGGGCCTGGTTCGTCTTGGGGTCTCACTGACTGGGCAAGTCCCCTGGCCTCAGTGTCTCCACAGTTCTATGAAGAGCTCGGGACGGAGGACCCCCCCCCACGCTGCCCCAGGGTCTGTGCCACCAGGTGGGGTGGGGGCAGTCCCTGCCCTGACCCCTCACCTTGCTGATGGCCTTCAGTGCCCGGCTGGCGGCCTTGTATCTTTCAGGGTGGCCTTGGGTCTTGAGGCACAGCGTCTGAGGAAGACACCAGATGCCAGGGCCCTTCTGGGGGTCTGCAAGAAGGGAGGGCTCCCCTATTCCAGAGCCTGGGTGGGCTGCAGGGGGGTCGAGGGCTCCCGAGGGTCCCTTCTGATGTACACAGCCCCCAGGTGACCCCAGGCCCTGGGCTCAGCAAGCCACGCTGATGGGAGGAGTGGAACCGCACAGCAGCCCTTCCCACCGGAGGCCATCTCCCCCCAGCCTGGGGAGCAGCCCCCGGAGGCCCGGTTTTACACGTCCAGGGGCCCAAGAGTCTGAGGTGCCACGCCTCAGTGGGGACACCTCCTTGAGCACTCCATGTGCAGCCGGGAGGCTCAGCTGGGTCTCATGCAGCAGGTGGCACATGTGTGCTCTCTGGGTGGTGGTGACCAGGGTGCCGACCGCATGTGACCCCGACGGTTCACACCTTCTGGTAACCGCTGTCATAACTGACCAATTAACGCAGACCAGCAAGCGTGGAGGAGGGGTGTTGGGTGGGTTCCCGCGGGCAAGGGGACGGCTGTGCCCAGGCCATCTCCCCGCCGGCTGGCCTGGCTGCACACTCACGTCCGTCAGGAGTGGCAGCCGGGTCACCCTCTGCATGGGGAGGATGAGGAAGGAGATCATGGGCAGGCCCCCGCACGCAGGCTTCTTCTCGATCTCCCGCAGGACCTCGCGGAAGGAGCTGTTGCTGCTTCTGCAACAGAGGACACAGCTGTCCCTCCAGGGGCTGGCGGGAGCCTGGCGGTCTGCACAGATGGGGCGGCCACTCACGTCAGCCTCTGCAGGGTGCGCTGCTGGTAGACCTCGTTGGAGCAGTAGGCGACGTAGGGGTGGAAGTGCTGCTCGGCGTGCTCCTCCAGGATGTCGCTGATGTCTTCCACACACACCTGTGCCTTATGGCGCTGCTCCAGGGCCTCGAAGAACCTTCAGAGGGAGGCAGGGCGGAGGGCCCATCTTGGTCGGCCGCCCCGTGAACACACGTAACACAGACGAGCACAGGCACACAGAGGTGCACACACACGTGTGTGCACATGCAGGCTGCTCAGCAGGCCAGACCCCCAGCCCGATGGGCCGAGGTAGGAGAGCTGGGTGTCCTGCGGCGAGGCTTTCAGCCCTGCCCGGGGAGCCCAGGACACACCAGCTCCTCACAGTCCTCTCTGGGCCGCTCCCTGAGCACCTGCAGCTCTGGGCCTGCCCCTGGGAATAAGCGACAGAGACGCAGCGTCCAGCCCCTTGGGCACACAGAGGGGCTGCACGTGGAGCCTGGAGGGACAAGGCAGGCCACCTCCGCCAGCCAAGCTCCCTAACTTGGCTGGAGGCCGCTTGGGGGGGTGTGCATCAGGCTTCGGAAACGGTCCACCTTCATGGACACCCGGTTCTAAGTGGGCCGCCCAGGGCATAGCAGGGGCCACACTTGGGCTCCTGAAAGACTCCTTGGAAGTGACCACCAGCCCCTGACCTCCTCCGTGAGGCAGACCCTGGCCCAGGATAATGAAGCTGAGCTCATCTGCTGTCACTAGGACCCTGTCCCCCCTGGGTTCGCCTGGACCTGTGATGGCTGCCTGGCCGGTGGGGCCTTCAGTCCATCCTTTGGATGCTCACGGTGCCAGACCCCGAGCCCTGTCCACCGCTCCATGCCCTGGCCAAGGAGGTGGGTGTCCCCTCCCCACCAGACCTCTGTTCACCTGAGAAGCCCCCTCCTGGACCCTCCACTCACCCAGGGACCTCACTTCCCATGAGCGGGAACCCTCAGGAGGCATGGCCCAGGGAGGCCGGGCAGAGAGGACAGTGGGTCAGGAGCAGATGGCCCCAGGTGAGCGGGTGGTGACCCTGAGGAGCGCGCTGCCTGGGTGAGGCGGGCCAGTCAGCTGGGATGCTTCAGCGAGGTCTGGGAGATGCGGCCATCAGACACTGACCCCCAGTAGTGCCGAATTCCAGGGGAGGCCACTGTGAGTGGCCGGGGGAGGTGGCCAGGGAGTTCCACCCCAGCAATGGCCAGTCCAGAGCCTTCAGAGGCCAGAAGTAAACACCACGCCGCCTCACAGAGAGGGCTGCCCTGGGGGAAGGAGTCTGCGTGGGGGTGGGGTCAGCCTGAGGGGCAGCTGCCACCCAGACAGTTGGGGTTGGAGGTTCCCACAGCAGTAAGGGACGCTCTACAGGAAGTCCCCGTCTCCAGGGACAGGCCAGTGCCTGCTCTCTGACCCCCTGAAACTCCTTGCGGGGGAGGGTGGCCCCAGGCAGCAGGCTCTGCCTGGGGCTCGGGAGGTCCAGGCTGGCTCTGACTGACGGAGCCGGCAGCCATTTCCAAGGCCCAACCCGAGGGCTCACCTGACCACCCACCCACCAGGTCAACCAGCCTGAGGCAGACAGTGGGAGGAGGCCCAGGGTCTCCCGGGCGGGGCCGGCCTCTGAGGGGTTCCACGTGGTCACGCACACACCCCACCATGGACCTGAGCCTGCACGGCCGGCCCTCCCTGCCCAGGCCTTGCAACCAGAGCCCAGCCTGGCCACCAGACACTCCTGGACAGAACCTGACCTGGGGCTGCAACTCGAGGCTGCTGGAGGCCAGGCACCACGGGCACTGCTACCTGTGCCCTGCAGACCTCGGCACACGCTCTCGGAGGCCCTCTGTGCCCAGCACGCATGGGAACCGGCACGGCGTGGGCCCGGGCTGTGCCCTAGGGGTGCCCCGGCTGGTGTGAGTCTAGGACTCCCACCACCCTGCTGTCCCCACGGTCAGCTCTCAGGGGCCTCACGGGCCCATGGGCTTCAGCTCTACCAGCCAGTGGCCGCTCAAACAGCCTCAGGGTCACAGGCCAGGTTTCAGCCGCCTCAGCTGGCCTCACAGTGACAACTGGCTAGGGCAAGGTGGCCTTCCCAGGGACCTGGGCGTGTGCGCAGCGCAAGCCATGGCCCACTGTGGGCGGCCGAGCCAGGTCTCACTTCTGGCTGGCGGCCAGCACGTCCAGGATGTTGGAGAAGAGGTGGTGGTGCTCAGTCTGCGTCATGGTTGCCCGCAGCTCCCTGGACTGCAGGAACTCGGCCACTAGGATGCCCAGGCTGTGCAGGTAGGAGAACTCGGACGTGAGGATCTCGAAGATGGCCTGTGGGGGGAGTGGACGGTGAGCTGCCCACCTGGAGGAGTGTGCCACTGAGGACGGGGTGGAGGAGGGGCAGGTGGGGCGGGGCCCTGGGTGACACGCTGGACAGGGCCGTCAGGACAGCCTTCCCCAGCTGCAAGGGACTTCCCCGGGTCTGCCTTCTGGTGCGGCCACTTGTGAGCTACGTGAAACAGGCCAGGGCTCCCATCCTCGTCCAAGCCCGAGGACCATGAGCTGACCTGAGGGGCTGACCGTGCCTGGCCTGGAGGTGGCCCATGGGGGTGAACATCTCCGTGGCTCTCCCCAGGGTGTTGGGTGGCCCACAGGGGGTGGGCAGCACCCTCTGCCTTACCTCCTGCCTTTTGCGCTCCTCAGTGGACAGGCTGTCCAGCAGGCCTGACTCCACCACCTGGGGGGCACAGCAGGGGGAGCCAGGCTGCACCTCCTGGAGGCTGGAGCCAAAGTCCCCACTCTGTCCTCGCCCTGGACCACAGCCCGGGGAGGGTGGGCGCTGGGACAGTCACCCCACCGAAACACCCGCAGCCACCTGTGCCCAGCTCAGAGCCGAGCATGCCCCTCACCCCCTCTTCCTTTCTGGACACCGTCCTGGGGCAGGCACAGCCCCTGAGAGCCACCGGGTCACCAGGGGGATGGCCAAGCGGGCAGGCTTCTCCTAAGCACCTGAGCTGGGGAGAGGGGCAGAGCCCAGGGGAGGGGCCACCAGGGGAAGGCGGTGACACTGAGGTGGGGCCACAGGAGCGCTCCGCCCTCAGTGCCATGGCCCCAGCTGCCTTGGCTGGAGCCTGGCTCCCTCAAGTCACGGCACACCCTGTCCCTACGAGCATGCCAGGACAGGTGGCCTGCCACACGGCCTGAGGTACTGCCTCTCAGGACCAGGGCTGCCCTGATTGGCACTCTCCTCCCACGGGGCTGGGCAGAGGCCATCGACAGTGCCCGGGCCCCATGCCCCCTCCTGCCCAGCCTGGTCTGGGTATCCGGCCGTGCTGCTGGGTGCAGCGTGGCGGCCCCACCCAGGGGGGCCCAAGCTCAACTCCCAGCAGCCAGTAAACACGCACTTTGGGACCTTTCTGTCTGCGGGGGGGTGGGGGGGTGTGGGGAGGGCCCTGCCTTGCCCTTCTGCTGGGCCCCCAGGGGGTCCCACAGCAGGCACGGAAGGTCCCCCACAGGGACGGCAAACAGAAAGCCCACTGTTCTGAGAGGAAGGGAAGCCAGGCCCACCCTCCCACAGCCACCACACCCATAGCCCTGGGGGACCAGGCTCATGAGCCTGTCCACAGCGGCCAGCTCTGCCCCCAGCACCCCTCAGGCCTCAAGACCACTTCCTGGACCTGCTCTCCAATGAGCCCAGGGCCCCGCGGAGCAGGGACGTCGGACGTGGGAGGGGATGGCTGGCCTGCTCCCGGCCCTGGAAGCCCCGTCCCTAGCCACGTCCTTACTCAGCCCTGGAGGGCTCTCCCAGCAGGACGGCCCTGTACCCACAGTGCCCTGCAGGTCAGTCCCAGCAGGATGCCCCTCACGCATGATGACGGAAGATAAGCTCACGTGTCCCCAAGTGCTCTCCTCCCCCAGTGACCACCCCCAAGGTGCCCTCATGGAAAGGACAGCTCCAGGCTCTGGAGCCCCCGGTGGGCCTGGCACAGCAGGGGACCTGGCCACCTCCCTGTGAAGACCTGGCCGTCCTGGGAAATGCCAGGGGACCTCCTGTAGCCACCGGCTCGCCTCGGCCCGCCCTGGCCCTACCTCTGGGAGCTGGCTCCAGGTGATCTGGGCAGGCCGGTAACTCTTGACCACGATGGTGGTGTCCACCTTCCGGGTGCCCCCAGGGCTGGAGGGCTCGTCCAGGAGGTCATCGTCAGACTCGTGGGTGGTGTTCAGACCCCGCTCCCGGATCTCCTGGTAAAACCCGGGGTCTGGAGAGGGGAGCAGAGTTACCCCCGTGCCTGGGGGCTGGGAGCGGGCCAAGCCCTCCCCTGGACCCCCCAGCTCCCCTGAGAGCATCAGGCAGTGGGCACTCAAGACTGGCCTCCCTCTGGCCAGCTGGCTCCCATGCCTAGCAGGGAAGGCCCTGGAGGCAGGTGGCAGCCTGGTGTGGAATGTGGCACCTCTGGGCCAGGGGCCAGCTGACAAACCAGAGCTCTGCAGGGTCTGCCGGGCCTGGCCTGGGGGGCAGGCTGGGCCTGGGGTGCTAGGTGCTGTTCTGAGCGCCTGTCTACACCACATGCCCACATGGCCAGGCTGTTTCCCAGCTCAGGCTGCTGCCATCAACTCGCCCTGAGGCCCGGGCACTGCTGCTGCTCTCCTGGGGACAATCTTTCCCCAGGTGATCACACAGGAGGCCCAGGTCCTTGCTCCCAGGCTATGGCCATCCACAAAGCTTCCAGGGGTTGGGGGGTGGAATTCCTGGGGGGCCACTGGGCCTTGGGACCTCTCAGCAGAGGCTGGGCCTGGGGCTCCGAGGCCCCTATCTTTGCTGGGCCTCACTCTCTGAGCAGAGCAGGCAAAGCACCAGCCATCACCCCCCTCCTTAGCCCTGACACCCACCAGGGCCGCCCTCAGACCTCACAGATCCCAGGCAGAGCACAGCGGGCAGAGTCTGTGCCTGGCAGGGCTGGTGCCCTCTGACTTGGCGGGGTGGGGTGCTTGGGCGAGTGTGGGGCTGTCCTGTCCTTGGGACTTTGTGGATCCATCAGGTGGCAGTCACATCAGCCCTGGGACCTCTGTCTCTGGCCTGGTGCCCCCTCTGAGCCATCAAACCAGAGCCACCCCGACCCGCCCAGGAAAGTCCCAGTGAGTCTGGCTCCAGCTGCAGGGCCACTTACCATCCTTGAAGGAGCCCTTGTGCGCTCGTTTCCGACCTAGAGTCCTCTGGCAAGAGAGGGGACACCCCAGTCAGCAGGGAAGGGGAGGGCGGGTCACAGGGACTCTGTTCTGGGGACCCAGAGACCCCGGGCGAGACCTGCAAGGCTGAGCAACCAAGCCGAGGCCTGGACCGGCAGATCCAGGGGGACTGCCTGGGGGAAGGGCAGAGCTAGCCCCATGCCAGGGAAAGAGGGCATGGAGAGCCGGGCGCCCGGGGGACGGAGGGGAGCTGAGGGGGGCAGGCTGGGCACCCAGGGGACGCGAGGTGGGCAGGCTGGGCACCGGGGGGACGGAGGGGAGCCGAAGTGGGCAGGGGTGGGCACCCAGGGGACGGAGGGGAGCCAAGGTGGGCAGGCTGGGCACCCAGGGGACGGAGGGGAGCCGAGGGGGGCAGGGGTGGGCATCTAGGGGACAGAGGGGAGCTGAGGTGGGCAGGGGTGAAGCCCAGGGGGACCGAGGGCAGCTGAGGTGGGCAGGGGCAGGCGCCCGGAGGGGAGCTGAGGTGGGCAGGCTGGGTGCCCGGGGAATGGAGGGGAGCCAAGGTGGACAGGGGTGGAGCCCAGGGGGGACTGAGGGGAGCTGAGGTGGGCAGGGTGGAGCCCAGGGGGACAGAGGGGAGCTGAGGTGGGCAGGGTGGAGCCCAGGGGGGATGGAGAGGAGCTGAGGGGTGCAGGGGTGGGCATCCAGCAGGTGGGCAGGCTGGGAGCCCGGGGTGACTGTGGGAAGCCGAGGTGGACAGGGGTGGCTGGCAGAGGGCAGAGCAGGAGCAGAGGGTGGGGTGGGACCTGGGCTGTCTCAGGCCTTGGAGAAGAGGACCTGATGTGGCAGGAAGAGCAGGACTGGAATTGGCCATGACCCCAGGAGCCAAAGGAGGGATGGCAGAGGTGACCGGGGGACAAGGCTCTTAGGGAGCCCACGCTTCTGCAGGGACACAGGGTCTCACAGGTGCACGGTTCCAGGGAAGCCAGCTGGTCTCTGGGTCCTCAGAAAGCCCCCTACTGCGGGGCGTGGTGCTCCCGGCCTGCTCCTCCCGCCCAGGCCTCCCCTGTCCCTCCTCCTGTGCCCCGAGGCCCTCCTAACTGCTCTAGCCCTCCTGTGCTCCCGCAGCCCCTACCAACCCTGGGGGTCTCACTGCGGCCTCTCTGTCCTAGAAACTGGACAGGGCCAGGGACGGAGCTTGCTGTGTTCGGCTGAGAGCCCCAATAGTGGGGGGTCCTCAGGAAGTGGGTCTGGGGGCGGGCCATGGTGAGCAGATGAAGAGGCCCCTGCATGTGGGGCCTGGGGACGGCGTAGGGACATGTGGGGGACAGAGGGTAAGGGGCAGTGAGTGTGGGGGGACACAGAGTGTGGGCCGGGGGACAGTGTGGGACACATCATGTGGGTCTGGGGACTGTGTGGGGGCACACAGTGTGCCCCAGGAGCACCGACCGTGGCCAGAGCAACCCCTGCAGAGGTCCCGCAGGGTCTGGGGTCTGTCCACCTGGGAGGCACAGCAGGGGTGGCTGTGAGGGAGGACCGTGGCTGGCTCTGGGAGCACGAGGACCTGCCTTGGCCACCACAGGCCCACAGGGGAGGCTGGTGGCGGCCACTGCTCTGACAGGTGGTCTTGGCTTCTGGGCTGCAGCCGGGAGCAGATGCCCCTGAGCGCACGTAGCCTTCCCACGGACATGGAGCCTGCTCCTCGCGCCCACATGCTGCTCTCTGGGGCATGCCACAGAGGAGGGCTGTCCCCTTCACTGACACACGGGTGCCGAGGCCCAGGAGGCCCAGGAACTTGCTCTACTTGCTTGAGGCCACACCGTGGCAGAGCCCCACCCCAGGACATTCACAAAGGCCTGCCTGCCCCTGAGCCTGGGTCCGCTTCTGGACAAGTCGGAGCAAAGCACCGGCCAGGACAGACCCCTGTTCTGCACAGGGAAGAGCTCTGAGTCAGCCATCTCGAGAACGGAGAAGGCCCCTCCCGCCCCCGCCCCGGGTGAGCAGACCAAGCAGACGGGCAGCGGGCTCAGGAGGCCCTCAGAGCCGGGTCAGGGCCAGGGCAGCTCAGCCACAGCACGCGTCCTGCTCCGTGGCTGCCTGCAGCCGAGGCCTGGTCCTCCAGCCACAGGGGAATGATGACACAAAGGGCAAGGGATATGGGTCCAGGAGCCCCTCAGGTCCCTCTGTCCCCCGGGGCCACAGTGACCAGAGCAGCCTGGCCACACGACCGCTCAGGGAAGTGTGTGTGCTGGCCCAGGGCCACTGAGGCAGGCAGGGGGTGGGGGAGCAGCAGCAGGGTCAGGCTGAGGACGTCGGGGCCGCAGGCGGCCTGCGCCAGGGTGGCCGCTGTTACAAAGCCATCAGACAGGCGGCAACTGCCAGGTTTGGAGGGGGTGGGTCCCTCGGGGCCTCTGCTGCCCACCCTGGGTGGGAGGAGGGACGCTACAGCCTGAGACCTGGCAAAACCGCCAGCCTTCGTGGCTCCGCTGCCCGACAGGACGGGACGTTCACGCTGAGGGTCTGACCACAAGTCTCGGCTCGGTGAGCTTGTCCAGAGCCGGCACACAGTAGGCTCTCAGTGACGCAGATGTGGGTGCAGGCGAGGGGGGCTAGAGCGTCAGGCCACCTTCCTGTCTGCGGGGGCCGGAGCCCTGAGGGCACCTCCCATCCTGGCCGCCTGGAGGCAGGCCCCTACCTTATTTTTGGCCTGGCACCGGGCGGGAGGCTGGCTGGACTCCTCGGCCAGAGCCTGGAGCTTGGGGCTGAGATGGAGGGCGTCCTCTTTGCTGCGGGGGTCCTCCAGGCCCTTCATGGCCGCCCGGTAGGACTGGTTCCGCAGGTTTCGCTTCAGCATCCCCACGGGGCCCACGTCCACGTCCATGTCGTCCACGGAGAAGCTGGGGACCGAGAGGAGCTGGGGGTCCCTCCGTGCGGCCTCCTTGCTAAGCATAGCTGCCCCAAAGCTCTGGTGGCGGGCTGGGGCCTTGGCCCTGCTGGCCACGGCCAGGTTCCTGGGGATCATCTGCTGGGTGCCCTTCTTGAGGGCTGCGGGGCTCTGGGTGCTGAGGACGATGTGTGGGGGCTCCTGGTCCCCCGAGGGCGACGAGGCCTCGGGCTCGAAGGCAGCATCGGTCCTGGACCTCAGGGAGCCGCGGACTATAGGGAGCTGGGACGCGGGGTTCCCGTGGGCGTCCAGCCGCAGCTCGGAGTGGAAGCGGTGTTCCAGCAGTTTCTCCTCCAGAGCGCCGTCCGAGTGCCGCTGGGACATGCTGGGCGGCCACGGGTCCTGGAGTGGAGGGCAGAGAAGGGTCAGCAGGGCCTCCTCCCCAGGCATCTTGGGGGTCAGCCCTCCCACACCTGAGCATCTGCCCGATGCGCCAGAGCCCGGGTGCAGCCCCAGGGGGCAGCATGGGCAGGGTGGGGGCCAGAGGGGGCAGTGACGCAGGTTAGAGCGGAGCAGGGCAGGTCATCGGCAGATCCAGTCCCCAGGACCCCTGGCGGCCTGCACGGAGGCGGGACAGCCTCACACCTGCTCCTGTTCAGGGGCTCATCAGGATGGAGGCTGGGCCAGGCTCCGTGGTGGAGGGAAGGCCTGGAGTCCACCCTGTGTCCTCTGACCGCAGCACAGACCAAGTCCTGAGCTGGTGCGTTATGGGTACACAGGCCCTGGGGACTCCCACAGACCAGGATTAGAACCTGGCTCAGCCCTCGCTGCTGCTTGGGACACCTGGTGGCATGGCCACTGGGCCTCCCGGGGCCACTTCCACATGGTGGACCTAGGACAGCTCATCCTGGGAGCTGTCCCGAGGCTGCGTGGCAGTGGCACGGCCCCACCTGGCTCAGCGCCCCCAGGACCTGCCTGGGACACACACTGCTGCACAGAACCAGCACCGGGCCAGACCTGTGACGGCCGCCTCCCACCCTGCAGCCAGGCTGGCCGTCCACGAGCCCCTGCCACACAGGCCACGGGCTCTGCCATCCCACGTTTCCGATGGCAGAGGGGCGGGTGACCCCAGGCACAGGAGTTGGGCACGAGCCCGAGAGCCGGGGACACAGCCCAGGACTCACACCTCCTGTCCAGGGCAGAAGCCCCAGGAGCCGAGAGTCTGAGGCTGGACGGCACGTCCCTCCCCGGGACGCGCTGGCCTGTCCCTCCTGGCAGCTCACGTCCTCCCAGCCCCTCCATCCCTCTGTCCTCTCTCGTCCCCGACCTGCCTGTCGTCCTCCAGCCCTGGCCCAGCAGCTCCTGTGGCCACAGGCAGCACAGGCTCGATGCCGCCATGGGTGCTGGTCCCTGGCCTGGCCCTCGTCCTTCTCTGGGCACAAAGCAGGGCCAACTTCTACCCACTGGGGAGCAACACAGTCCCAAGACTGGCTTTGGCCAGCGAGGAGGGACGTGGTTAGAAGGACACACACCACTCGGGGGCAAACTCACAGCCCTGGACCCAGGAGCATGTCCAGGTGGAGCCCCAGTGGCCTGAGACCCTGGTGGCCAAGATGTGTGGTGCCGACTGACCCAGGAGCAGGAGGAGCCGGAAGGCCCATGTGGACGCTGTGTGAGGCTCGCCTGAGGGCCGGTGCACAGGCAGCCAGGTGGGCCCTCGTGCCCGGGCAGGTCGGGCCAGGCCAGGCTGCCTCGGGCCACTGACCATGCACTCAGAGGGCCTGCTCTCCACCCGTTCCCCCTGCACAGGGCCCACCCTGCAGAGGCCTGGAAACCCCACGTCCTCAGGGCCCAGACACTGCCTCTCCTCAGCTCCGAAGCCTGCACATGGGCACCGCAGGGCTGCTCCCACCTGCGGGCACCAAGGTGGACGGGGCTGTTCAACAGGCTGCATGGAGCGTGGACGTGCCAGCTCCCCACACGACACCAACAGTAGGAGGCCCCCGCCTGGGAGGCCTGAGGATCCAAGGCCATGTGGAGACGTCACGGCTCTAACCAGGTCCCTTTAATTAAAAACAAAACAAACCAAGAAGCCTCCACCCAGAGGACCCCCTGTCCAGAGCCTCGAGTGTGAGAATTAATGCCCAGAGTCACTGAGGGCAGCCGTCCCCTGCCATCTGCCCATGCCTCTGGAGAGGGGTCTGCCCTGGGAGGCCAGCAGCACCTCCTTCCCGGGGGAGGTCACAGCCAGAGGTGCAGACGGTGAGCTCCCGGGAAGACGGTGCGGCCCAGAGCCACATCCCACACCGTCCGCTGCGGCCAGGCTGTTCAGCCTCTGCGGGGACCCCTCCCTGATGGGCGGGCGGCAGGGCAGAGCTGGCCACAGGCTGACGCAACTGCAGGACGCCAGGAAGCTGGCTGTCCCCACAGCCCCAGAAGCCACCACCCCTCCCAGGACACAAGTTCTCTACTTCAACCACCCAGGAAGCCAGTGCTGGGAGCTCCGGCCGCGAGGGGAGGGGTGGCCCTGGGAGCCCTGGCTGCCCGGGAGGGGGAGGGCACATTCCTCAGTGCATTCCCGGCCTCCCTGCAGCCTGGCCTCCCCCAGAGCTGGTGACTTCCCTGATGCATGATGAGGGGCAGACCTGGGCAGGGCTGTCCCAGGATCACACGCCCATGTGAACCTGCCTGGACTCAGCCGGTGGAAAAGCCGTTTATTCTGGACTTTCATCAGTGCCCCAGGGTATGCGGCCTAACGCCCTGTGTGGTCCTTGACCATAAACAGGACCGGGCCTTCCTCATGGCCACAGGGGGCAGGAGGCACCAAAGAGTCTTCACTGGGCCCGTCTCCCACCACACAGATGTCTGTCAGCTTTCTGAGCAGTGCCCAGATCTGGCAGGCGGGTGGCCTCTAGCAGGTGGCACCATCCCGGAGAGTGGCAGCCTCTCCCAAGAGAGGGTAAAGTCCACTCCAGGTCCAGAAGCTGCCCCAGGGAGCCTGTCAGGTGAGCAAGGCGCCACACCCACAGGCCCCGGGCGCTGCCTGCCTGGGACCCAGGGTAAAGCACAGCAGTGCCCCCAGGGGATGGCCACCTGTCCCTGCCCGCAGGGGTCCTCGGGAGTGGTGGCTGCGGCACTGCTGCGGCTTCTGTGCTTAGTCTCAGCTACACGGAAGAGCGACACGCACCTGTCTCCAAACCAGATCGCACCGGATGCCTTCTGAGCCTGCCCTGTGTCCCCCTGCCGCCCATCTCCAGAGGCCACCACTGTGGGCCCCTCAGCTGGTCCCCAGCCCCAGCCCTGCCCAGATGTGGACTTGGCCTGCTCAGCCGCACAGCGCCGAGCCCCAGCCTGCCTGGTCAATGACCCCTCTCCTGTCCCTGTCCCTGCTCCTCTTGGTGAGTGCCAGGGTCACTGCGGGTGCTTCCTGACAGCACAGTCCCTACGGCAGCAGCCCCTCGCGGCTGGGTACCCTGCAGGCCTCCAGGTGACCCCGGCCTCCCCTGACCTCTCCCCAGGAGGGGACACTTGGCCCCAGGCCCCCTCCCTGGCTGTGCCAAAGCACATCCCAGCCCTGTCCCAGGAGGCAGCTTAGGCAGCAGATTTCTGGTGGCCTGAAGACGTGCAGGTCTTCTGCCTTCCCCTGGCTGGAGCTGGATGAGCCCAGAGACTCCCGTCGGAGGTTACTTTCTTCCAGAATCATGGCGCTCCCTTCCCTTGTCTTTGCTGCTGGTGGAGCATCCCAACCCCCTTCTAATTTCTCTTGTTGAACTGTGCTTCTCTCCACCCCAGCCCTGTGAAGGGTTTGGGACCCCCCATTCATTCACTGAGTTAGGTGCCTGGTGGAACTTCCGGTCGGCGTCCCCTGTTTGGGGCTGCATGTGATTTCTCATATTATTTCTCGGTCATTTCTTCCACTCTGCTCTCTCTCTCAGGGCCCCAGGAAGACCAGCACACACCCGGGAGCCGCCGAGCAGCTCCCAGCCCCAGCCTGCTCTACTCCGCCTGCCCCTGGCCTCTGGTGCTGGGCCTCTGCCGGGACCCCTCCCTAAAGGTGAGCAGGCAGGGCTGGCCACATGTGATTAACAGTACTGAAACCTCTGAAATGTTCTCCCTGTTTCTTGTCTCTCTTTTACTTTTTTCATCTCTTTGTTCTCCTTTTGGGAAAATCCCTCTATTTAATCGTCCATATTGTTTCCATGTCCTCCAGAGATCTCTCTTCTGCCTTCTCGTTACTCTTTATTCATAGCACCCTGTTCTTGTTTTATGAATATAATGTCTTCTATTTACGTAGAGGACAGGATCACTTTTTCTTTTGAACAGATTTTCTTCTGTTAGCTGGCGGCTAGAGCTCGGTTCCTTACATATGCTCTCCTCCTGTGTCTCAGATACTCATGCACGAGGCTGTCCTCAAACACCTGCGGCAGCTTCTGCTTCCTTTTAGGGAAGAGGCTGGTGGGAGGTAATGTGCTCAGTGCACACACCTGAGAGCCCATGTTCTGCAGTACTTTCTGGCACCCGGTCCTATCCCCACGTCTGCGTCCCGCGGACTCCTTCGGGATGTCCGACTCAGGAGCCAAGAGCTCAGACCCTCCTTCCAGCTGCCTTCCAAGCAGAAGCTGGCCACACAGTCTGCAAGACTTATTTCCCAGAGAGGCCATATGCTGTGCAGAGGCCACCTGGGGGTCAGAGGCAGATCTGCTCCCCAGCAAGGCAGCCTGGACTCTGAGCGGGGAGCCTTGTGAAGCCCTCACAAAGACACACCGCACCAGAGCTTCAGGTGGTCTGGCTGCCTGTCCCCGATGGCCGACAAGTCTGTGAGTCCTTGCGGGGTGGGAACAACCTCCCTTTCAAGCCGGCCCCCAAAGTGGGGCTCACATCCTGAATTGATGGGTGAACGTGGGACACCCTGTCCTTCTACCCCAGCCTCTGAGTCCAGCTGCCCTCACCCTATCCGGCGGGGCTTGGCCTCTCTCCATGTCATCCTGGTCAGCCCACAATGATGCCCTTGTGCTTGGTAATTCTGCCCAGCCCAGCTTGGGACTTGGAGTCCCACAGGATTGAGGGACAGGCGTTGGCTTGGTAAACCACAGCACACACCGGCGGGTTCCGCTGGCTCGGCAGCTCTCAGCGGGAAGCAGCTCTGCCCACCAGGAGAGACCTGGCAGTGCCTGGAGACGCTGTGCAGGTAGTCACCAGTCTGGGACCTGCGGGCTGAGGCCAGGGATGCTGCTGGCACCTGCTGTACCGGGGGCAGCCCCACACCCTTAGCTGGCACAGTGCTGAGGTGGAGAGGGCCCTCATGGCCGCGCAGAGGGTCACCCTTCACGTGGGAGAGCCCAGCTCTGCACAGAGCCGGACTCAGCCGGTGGCCACCCAGCTGTGGCTCTGTGGCTCCCATCTTTAACTCCACCCCCATAAACCCAGGCCCCGGCTTGCATGGTCCCCGAGGGAACCCCAAAGGTGCAGGATGGACCAGAGCCCTGACCCTGACTGCTATCTGGACAGGTGACAGGTCACCTGCTGCCCCAGTCCCCAGCTGTAAAACAGCGAGCCCGACGGTGCTCCAGTGGTCCTCTCGCCCACTCTGTGGGCCCCTCCTCAGCTTCTGAGAGGTGGGTGTCCCCCTCCCTGGCAGGTGAGGAGCCAGCGCAGCGGGAACCTGAGCTCCCGGGTCAGGCCTCCTGTCAGCGAGAGCCAGGCCAGGAGCCAGGCCCCAGGCTGACCTAGATGGTGTCTCTCGCCTGGAACCTGGTGAGCAGGGATTCTGGATCCGTCCTCCATGCTGCAGAGGGACGGTCACCTGAGCAAGGGAGGGCCAGGCTGAGCAGACAGAAAGAAACCGAAACCAAACCCCCCGACTGGGTGGCCGCTCCACCAAACATGAAGGCAGGCTGCGGTCCCTGGGGTAGCAGGCCCTGCCGGCAGCGGGGACCCCAACAGGCTGCTTCCCGTGGGTGCCTGGTTTCACCACAAGGGCGGAGAGGGACTGCCCTGGGGACGCCCTGGCAGCAAAGGTCTCCCCAGATAGGCCCAGAGGGCGAGGGGCAGGTAGGCGTCCCGGCCACTCTCACCCGGTTCTCCGGGTGGCACCTCGTTCCTCCCAGGAAGCCCCCAAGACCCTGGCCTCCCGCAGAACTGGTGCGCCTGCTTTCAGCGCTCAGCACCTTCTCCAGGCTGTGGGATCACCGGAGCTGGTGCATGTGTCCCCAGAGCAGGACCTCTGCAGCTGCTGCCCTCGAAGGGGACTTGCCTATCACCCCATGTCACAGAGGAGGGAACTGAGGCTCAGAGGCTTATGTAACTTGCCTTAGTTCCCACCCAGCCAGGACCCTAACCCCGAGGACACAGGCTGGGCACCACACCAGAGGCGTCAGGGCAGAGGACCACTCAGGGCCTGGCCTGTCTGTCCTCAAGGCATCCTAACCTCCACTTTGGGTAGCGCCTGGATTGTTTACAAGGTCACAAGGAAGAGACCTGCCTGGGCGCCAGGTGGGACTGCGCAGCCACCAGCTGAATCCAGTTCCCGCTGTCAGGAGCCACGCAGAGGCCAGCGCTCACTCAACCTCACAAGGGACCTCTGTGCCCATTTCACAGACAGGAAAGGAGGCAGGGCCGCTAAGACCGGGGCCCGCGGTTCCCATAGTTCGGGAGGCAACCCTCCCCACCTTCCCGGGGAAGCAGAGCTGACCGTCGGGGGCCGCCGAGGTGGGTTCTCCGCTTTGAACTCGGGCGACAGCAGGGCTCCTGGAGGGTCCCCTGCGGCTCCCTGGCGCCGGCGATT